CACCAAGTAGGCTTTATCCCAGGGATGCAGGGGTGGTTCAACATATGAAAATCAATAAACGTAATAAACCACATTAACAGAAGCAAAGACAAAAACCACTTGATATCTCAATAGATGCAGAAAAAGCCTTTGATAACATCCAACATCATTTCATGATAAAAGCTCTAAGAAAACTAGGAATAGAAGGAAAGTTCCTCAACATTATAAAACCTATATATGACAAACCTACAGCCAGCATTATACTTAACGGAGAAAAATTAAAACCATTTCCTCTAAAATCAGGAACCAGACAAGGATGCCCACTATCTCCACTCCTACTCAACATCGTACTGGAATTCCTAGCCAGAGCAATTAGGCAAGAAGAAGGAATAAAAGGAATACAAATAGGTAAAGAAACTGTCAAAATATCCCTATTTGCAGACGACATGATCCTATACCTTAAAGACCCAAAAAACTCTACTCAGAAGGTTCTAGACATCATCAATAGCTATAGCAAGGTAGCAGGATATAAAATCAACATAGAAAAATCATTAGCATTTCTATACACCAACAATGAGCAAACGGAAAAAGAATGTATGAAAACAATTCTATTTACAATAGCCTCAAAGAAAATCAAATACCTAGGTGTAAACCTAACAAAAGATGTGAAAGACCTCTACAATGAAAATTATACACTTCTGAAGAAAGAGATTGAGGAAGACTATAGAAAGTGGAGAGATCTCCCACGCTCATGGATTGGTAGAATCAACATAGTAAAAATGTCGATACTCCCCAAAGTAATCTACATGTTTAATGCAATTCCCCATCAAAATTCCAATGACATTCATTAAAGAGATTGAAAAATCTACTGTGAAATTTATATGGAAACACAAGAGGCCATGAATAGCCAAGGCAATACTCAGTCAAAAGAACAATGCAGGAGGTATCACAATACCTGACTTCAAACTATATTACAAAGCAATAACAATAAAAACAGCATGGTACTGGCACAAAAACAGACATGAAGACCAGTGGAACAGAATAGAGGATCCAGATATGAAGCCACACAACTATGAGCAACTTATCTTTGACAAAGGAGCTAAAAATATACGATGGAGAAATAGCAGCCTCTTCAACAAAAACTGCTGGGAAAACTGGTTAGCAGTCTGCAAAAAACTGAAACTAGATCCATGTATATCACCCTATACCAAGATTAACTCAAAATGGATCAAGGATCTTAATATCAGACCCCAAACTCTTAAGTTGATACAAGAAAGAGTAGGAAATACTCTGGAGTTAGTAGGTATAGGTAAGAACTTTCTCAATGAAACCCCAGCAGCACAGCAACTAAGAGATAGCATAGATAAATGGGACCTCATAAAACTAAAAAGCTTCTGTTCATCAAAAGAAATGGTCTCTAAACTGAAGAGAAACCCACAGAGTGGGAGAAAATATTTGCCAATTATACATCAGACAAAGGACTGATAACCAGAATATACAGGGAACTTAAAAAACTAAATTCTCCCAAAACTAATGAACCAATAAAGAAATGGGCTAGTGAACTAAACAGAACTTTCTCAAAAGAAGAAATTCAAATGGCCAGAAAACACATGAAAAAATGCTCACCATCTCTAGCAATAAAGGAAATGCAAATTAAAACCATGCTAAGATTCCACCTCACCCCTGTTAGAATAGCCATCATCAGCAACACCACCAACAACAGGTGTTGGCGAGGATGCGGGGGAAAAAGGAACCCTCTTACACTGTTGGTGGGAATGTAGACTAGTACAACCACTCTGGAAAAAAATTTGGAGGCTACTTAAAAAGCTGGACATCGATCTACCATTTGATCCAGCAATACCACTCTTGGGGATATACCCAAAAGACTGTTACTCCAGAGGCACCTGCACATCCATGTTTATTGCGGCACTATTCACAATAGCCAAGTTATGGAAACAGCCAAGATGCCCCAGCACAGATGAATGGATTAAGAAAATGTGGTATCTATACACAATGGAATTCTATGCAGCCATGAAGAAGAACGAAATGTTATCATTCGCTGGTAAATGGATGGAATTGGAGAACATCATTCTGAGTGAGGTTAGCCTGGCCCAAAAGACCAAAAATCGTATGTTCTCCCTCATATGTGGACATTAGATCAAGGGCAAACACAACAAGGGGATTGGACTATGAGCACATGATAAAAGCGAGAGCACACAAGGGAGGGGTGAGAATAGGTAAGACACCTAAAAAACTAGCTAGCATTTGTTGCCCTTAATGCAGAGAAACTAAAGCAGATACCTTAAAGCAACTGAGGCCAATAGGAAAAGGGGACCAGGAAGTAGAGAAAAGGTTAGATCAAAAAGAATTAACCTAGAAGGTAACACCCATGCACAGGAAATCAATGTGAGTCAATGCCCTGTATAGCTATCCTTATCTCAACCAGCAAAAACCCTTGTTCCTTCCTATTATTGCTTATACTCTCTCTACAACAAAATTAGAGATAAGGGCAAAATAGTTTCTGCTGGGTATTGAGGGGGGGGAGCGGGAGGGGGTGGAGTGGGTGGTAAGGGAGGGGGTGGGGGCAGGGGGGAGAAATGAACCAAGCCTTGTATGCACATATGAATAATAAAAGAAAAATGAAAAAAAAAAAATAAAGCATGAGAGAGTACTTAAAAAAAAAGAAAAAAAAACCTGACCAGTTGTTTATATATTATATAGAAGACCCCTTGGTGGTAACATCTATAAACAGTGGAAGTTGGGGAGGTTAACATTTGTTAGGCTAGCTATAGAGATTTGGAGAATTGGTTAGGGTGGCATCAAAAGGGGAAGTGGGAAGAGGGAAGGGTGAGTAGGAGAAGTGGTGTGTGGACTGCTGGGTTTTGTGGCCCTTGTGTGTATTTTTCAGTTTTGCGGGGCAGTTCAGTTTTGGATACTGTTCTCTGGCTCTCTTCTCCTTCCTCCATTAAGCAAAAATAAAGCATCAACCAGAATCAAATTTTCAACATCCTGAACCCCTAGCCCATGGAAAACCTCCCCAAACCACACTGTACTGAGAAAATTTGCTCCCATTTCTCTCCACCACTGCCAGCTCCAAATCTGCCTGCATATCAATTGACATAACAAACAGATGAACACCAGGCACCATGCAGGAATCCCCTAACCACTCCCAGGAACATAAACCAGCATAACCCCTGGGCAGACTGACCACCCCCCAAACAAAACTGGAAGATAATCAGCAAACTGTAATCAAACAGGGACAGTGAAGGAGGCAGGTGAACTGCACACCAGAGAAAGGGGGCAGAGCAAGGAGCTAAACTTAATGCCCAACTCTGAGTAAATGAACACAGGAAAGGCAGAGAAGGCTGACAGCAGGCATGTGATAAACCCCTCCCCAAAGCAGGGCAGGGAGTTGATCACAGAGATGATCTCCTGAGCCAGAGAGATGAACTGCCCCAAAACTGAAAAACAGTGAACTGTAATCTAGCACAGACAGCGGAGAGGGCGGGTGGCATGCCGAACCTGCACTAGAGAAAGGGGGTTGGGCAAAGAACTAAACAAACACAGCAATAAGCCACCTCCAAAGCAGGGCAGGTAGTAGATCACAGAACTGATCTCCTGAACCAGAGGGCAGCATTCAAGATTGAACTGCCCTATCTCACTGGGGGAGGAACTGACCAAACAGCTGAGGCTGAAGGGTAATACAGCTATCAGCTGGGGAAAACCATAACTCCGACCACCCTGCATGATCTGGCAAACCTACTACATCTCACAATTTCAATTAAACAGGTAGACAGAAGAACAAAATACTACTCACAAGCCAACCACCTGGTGAGATGATGTCAGAGCTTCTGCTTATATGCCAGTACCAGGACTGGATGCTAGAGGAGTAACTCCAAAACTTAAACTAAGACTGAAATTCTATTGTTCTTGAACCTGGCGTTTTTTAAAATTGTTTTTGTTTTTTTTTTGTTATATTATTGTGGGTTTTTTATTTTTATTCCTATTTTCTTTCTGTACTATCAACTTTACCATCACTGTTTTCTCATCCGTATTCTCACCCCCTTCACTTTCCCTCCTTCTCCTATGATAAAATTCATTGTTCTCCTTCCCAACTATTCTTTCTGCCCCTTCTCATCCACTCTCTCTCCCTGCCCTCACCTTCCCCTCCCATTCTCCCCCAACCAGTTACCAGACTACCCTTCCCTCCTACACACTCAACACCTGCTGACTAACCTACTATAACATCCTTACACAACCCCAACACCCTGCAATCCTGACACAAACACCCTACAACAACAGAAATACACACACAAGGGCCACAAAACCCAGCAGCCCCCACACCACTTCCCCTACTCACTCACCCACTTCCCCCTCCCCTTTTAGTGCCACCCTAACCAATTCCCCAAATCTCTATAGCTAGCCTAACAAATGTTAACCTCCCCAACTCCCACTGTTTATAGATGTTTACCACCAAGGGGTCTTCTCTGGTCTCCACTTCCACAACCCTAACCAAAGACATGGCTACCACCCCACATCTGAGTTACTGCAACACTCTCCATTGCACGCCACCCAACCCATCCTCACTGTATCCACAGAGATGTTTCTAACTTGCAAATAAGTAATATTAGATGTCTCAAGCTGTTGCATTTACAACCCTTTCCTACTGATTTCTCCTTGCCCATTTCTACACACACACTCTCTTACAGCTCAAAGCTGTAAGAAACCCATTTAACAAGAATACGCTTTGCTCCTTGTGCTGCTGGACCCAGGATATGGTCTGAATATGATTTGACAGCTCCCCCACCACACACACACACACACACACACACACACACACACACACACACACAGAGACAGGAGTTTGATCCCCACAGTCTTGTGTGAATGATATTAAAAGAGTAGAAATTTAATCCCACTGTTGTGTTTGGATTGGGTCCTTGGAGTGGATCTCCAATGATTGAACCCCAATGGCTTTATAAGGAGATGTTGAGAGACCATACAGAAAAAAAGACATACTTACACTCCCATTGTAGTATGATACAGCCTGTGGGGGTAGGGAGGACTTTCCAGTGCCTGCATAATGTTGTGGACTTCTAGCCTCCAAAACTGTGAGTTAAATAAACATCTTTTATTTATAAAGCAGTTCGTCTTTGGTAATTCATAACAGTAACACAGGGCAGATGTCTTAGAACTCACGTTTCTCTATGTGTGAATGTACCAAACATTCACACAAAATCCTCTAAATTTCATATTTTAAATTCACCTTTTATTGCTAAATATAGCACAAAGCAAATGCACACCTTAATACGAGATCATAAGGCAAACACTTTGTAGCCTATACCTAGGCTAGGATATAGCAAAAACTCACCAAATTAAAAAGAACCCCACATGCTCACTTCTTCCAGATGTGGTTCCTGCCCCTCACTCTCTTTAGAAGTAGCCACTGTCCTAACATTTAGGATGGCCACGTCCTTACCTCTTCTTTCCCCAGTGCTGGAGATGGAGCCCATTGGAACCCAAGGCCTTGAGCATGCTAAGCAACTACTCTACCACTAAGCTACACTCCCCGCTCTTTACTTTCTTTATATTTTAATCCCCTAGAACATACCTGAGCATAATAGTTTACATTGGCCTGTGGCTGAGTTTTTAAATATGCTCTTTTAGGATTTTTCTTCAAACTATAAACTCCCATCCATCTTTTTCTTTTTAATTCCCTTGCAAATTATTTTCAGGAACTACATTGTTGTCCTATAGACTACCACAGGCTATATACCTTGCAGCGGTATAATTTAATGTGCTCCTGTTCTTTCTGTTTCCTATTAACTTGGTACTTGGATCCAGATTCCAGCTCAATGTTTTTGACAGGACCACTTCATAGGTAATGTGTTCTCCATCAAAACACATACAATGTCTTTCTTTTCATGATGTTAGAAGCCATGAATGCTAAGTGACTAGATTTTTTCAATTCCATTAGGACTCCATAATTCATTGTTCTTTTATGTGCTGGAATGATTTTATAGAAAGAAATGTCTCTTCCTATACTATTTGGTTATGCATTAGTACAAGTAATATAGTAAAGCCAAGAAAAGGGATTAATTATTTCCCCTTACTTGCCAATTTTCAAAATAACAGTTTATGAGCTTCAACCAAGGTTTCTGTATTAGCTCAGGCCAGAATAACAAAGTACCACAGACTGGATAACTTTAACAACAGACCCTCTTTCCTCATGGTTCTTTGGGCTGGCAATCTTAGACCAAGTTGTCAGCAGGCTTGGTTTCTCCTGAGGCCTCTCTCCTTGGCTTACAGACTCTGTCTTCAACTACATCTTCACGTGGTCTTTTCTCTGTGTATATGCATCCCTTATCCTCTGTGTATCTAGTTTCCTCTTCTAATAACCACACAATATGATTGGTTATGGCCAACCCTAAAGGCCTATTTTAACTTGATCCCCTCTTTATGCCCCATCTCCAAATACAGTCACATGCTGAGTTGCTGTGGATTACAGCTTCAACTAATGAATATGGAGCCCACAGTTCAGTCCATCATAGTGTCTAATGAGGCTTTTGTAATATAGGTATGAATAGTATTAATAATATGTATGGCTGCCATAACAAATTATCACAAGTTTAGCAACTTAAAACAACATGAGTTTATTCACACTGCTAAAGTGGTGCAGATGAAGGACTGAGGTCCCTTTCTCAACTTCCAGAGGCCACATCTTGGTTCCTGTTCTCCTTTATCTCCAAGCCAGCAGTGGCAAGTAAGTCATTTTTATGCTTGGAATCTCTCTGGCCTCTTCTGCCAGTGCTGACTGGCTTTTCTTCTCCCTCCTCCACTCCTAACTATCTTATGCTTGCCTTAGGTCCACCTGGACAATCATCGACATCTCATTGCTGTTGGTTCTTAACCTTAATTCCATCTGCAAAGTCCCTTTACTGTACAGATAGAAATTAGGACATGACAGCTTTAGGAACCATTACTCTGCCTACCGTAATATGCATTTGAAAAACACAGAAATACATTAAAATAATAATTCCTGTGTGGTTGATTTTTCTTTATACATTTGGGTTATTCCATCTTTTCATACAATACACACATTTATACTCACAAAAATGAGGCAACTTATAAAGCAAAAAACATGGAATTTGTAGATAGATGCCAACTACAAATCCTGGACAATTTATTGATCATGTGACTCTCAGCCTCGTCACATCCATAAGGGTGATAATTACTTCTTCCTGGTAAAATTGTGGTGTGGATTACAGGGAAAGCTTGTGAAAGAACTGACACAGAGGCCTGTATGAAATGTGCGTGCTGCCTCCTCTCCTGAAGTCAGCTCCACCATAGCCTCAAATATCCTCCAAACTCTGACATTCTATTACAGCTGCTGCTTATATGTGAAATTTTTCAGAAATAATTTGTCTTTCATTTCTTGAAAACCTAGGTCTCATTGTGAAGTGGTTTACCCTCTCTAGGAACAAAAAACTGGTCTGGCTGAGCTGGGCTCCCTGTTCTCTCATCCATTCCTTCGAATGGCTGGGCAGCTTCTTCAGTGTCCAGCAATCATTCAGTGTTACATTCAGGACTTTCAGCTCTAAAATCCTGTGACTCAAATTAGGCAAAAGTCAAAATGAGTTAACCTACAGAAGATGCTCAGTCTGGCACATGACAGTGTTCACTAAATGTCAGCTTGTCACTATTACCATTTCATTATTAGCAGCAGTAGTAAATCTCTTTGGAATTACAACAGCCAATTATTCCTGAGCAATAATGGCCCATTCTTCCTCCCTTTCTCTTTTTCACATTTAAAAGTCTCAATTAAAAAAACTGATGCAAAAACAGGGGAAGTATTTGAATAAACATTTCTCCAAAGAAGAAAGCAGCATCATGATTACCAATAACCAAAAGTTGGAGACAACCCAAGGACACATGGATGAATGAATGCATAAACAAAATATAGTACATATGGGCATGGAATATTATTCACCTTTAAAAAGGAAGGAAAACAGCTGGGCATAGTGATACACACCTATATTGCAAGCCTTGGGAGGCTAATGCAAGGAGATTGCAAGTTCAAGGCCAGTCCTGGCTACATAGTGAGACCCTGTAAAAGAGGAGGAGGAAGAAGTGAGAAAAGGGAGGTGGGAAGATTAAGAAATCCTATAACATGGATGAACCTTGAAGACATTAAGCAAAGTAAAACAAGTTATGCACAGAAGGTCAAATATTGTATGATTTACTCATATAAAAGTAAGAGTATCTAGAGTTCATAGATTCTAAAAGTTGAATGGTAGTTTAAACAGCCTAGGGGACAGGATGGGGAGTTAGTGCTAATTGGTACAGAGTTTACATTTGGGCAGTTGGAAAGATTCTGGAGATGAAAAGCAATAATGAGCACACAACAATGTAAATATAATTAACACCACTGATTTGTACACATAAAAATAATTAAAATAGTCAATTTCACATTATGTGAATCTTACCAGTCTGTTCTCTTACCATAGGGACACTTCACCTGAGACACTATGGCCCTAACTCCAGAGTTGAGCAGAGACCCACCTGAGAGAGGTGGCAGGGATCACCCTGTTGTTTGCAACTGTGGACAACTGAAGGCAGATCCAGAGCTTTGAGGCCAAGCCAAAGCTTCAGATCTCATCTGTACCTACCCTAAATCAGGTGACTGTGGGCAGGGCAACAGCACAGATCTCCCCTTGCTGAGCCCACCCTGAGCTCCCTGGGCTCCATGGCCAGATGGGAAGCCTGCTCCTGCTGTCCCAGGCTCAGATGCCTGGTATCCCTGGGTTTTCCAGGGACCAACATAGCAGTGCTGGGGGCCACATCTGCTGTCCTCTGCCGCACACTGCTCTTGGACAGCTGCAAGATTTCCCTGTGGCTCTACTCCACGCAGAGCTCCAAAGACTCCTACATCTGTCCTGACCTGAGGGGATGGTGAAGCTTCCAGTCGCCATTCCCTTTGTTTACTCAGGACACTCCAGGGAAGATTATCTAACAAACTTTTGCTTCTCATCCTTCCCTTCTGACCCTTAGGTACAACATGGATTCAGGAAATTGTGGACATGATTGAACAGAATGGGGACATGGAGAAGTGCCAGTGAACCATCATTCAACACTGCCTTCCTTTCATTGAGTGGGCACAGCCACCTCAGCCCTCTGGTAAGGACCTCTCTCTCCCTTGTGTGGTCTCCCTTCTATCTGTCTCTCTTATCTCTGTCTTCCTCCTATCTCTCCTGTTTCTCCATCTCTTTTCACTCCCCACGTCCCCAAAGTGAATCACCAATTAAGAAATATGTATAAGAGTCCTATTCTGCCTTCATTTCTTCTTAAGCCCACCCTCTAGTCAAGTGCAACTATAGAACACAAAGAGGGTGCAAAGGCTACATGCTTAGACCTATCTCAAAGAGAGGAGTATGGCGGTCTAAGCAAGATTTCTAATGAGGTGTTCTTGCATAGAGCCTCCCTGAGGTCAAACTCCAGCAGCTGTAAAATTTTGCGAGAGATTGGTGACTGATTATCCTGCTTTGCATGTCACGCAGAGGCACCTGGTGGCTCTTCATGAAACAAGGTGACTGTTTCTAAAGAGTAACAAACAGTCTCAGGATTTGGGTTCTTCCCAGCTGCACGAAGACAGACGCTGAGTAGAAACTGGCTGTGCAGACACAGAGTCCCTGCTAGAGAGGCAAGGACCTCTAAGAGGAGGAGCTACTCTGACAGATTTGTGTATGTGAGTCAAAGCTCAAAACCAGCCTTAGAGGGCTCTTGAGTGGGTGGGCCCCAGGCTTGATGGATGACCTTAACAGTCTACCTCCCATGCTCCCTTCCACTTCCATCCAACTCTACTACAGAGTCATTGCACCCCAGGGTATAGGGTCTATGACCCAGCAGGCACAGATTTGGAAAGACTTTGAAAAATGTGTGTTCTTTTGGGGAGGGAACTACATATAAGTCATTTCAGAATGACCCATTCAATGTTTAAACATTTTTACCATGTTTATATATGTATTACAAATAATCGTGTCCATCTGTCTGTGCCTGAGAAGACCCAAAACCTGCCTGAGGCACAAAAACCTCATTTCAAAAAGAGCAGCCTTGGCCTCTGTACACATGCCAAGCGGGGCAATTAGTCACCATGCTTCCTCAAAATACTATGGGCCCCAGGCGCTTATAAGACCTTGTACTTCCACTGGCCCTCAATAAATATGGTCACATGAAGGGACAAATGCAGACTACATAATGAGGGACACATGGCCAGAGAACACTGCTAGAGGGGATACCCAGAATGATCAGCTGTTACTGTTGTTGTTGAGTGTCTGCCTCTCTCTCCTGCTGGACCACAAGCCCCCTAAAGGCTAAAACCTTATGCTAGCTAACTTTATTGCTCCCACGAGACCATGTTTAGAGCAACACTATCCACAAGAGACAAGAGACAGAAGTGACCTGAGTGTCCATCAACAAATGAATGAATAAACACAATATTATATATTATATATATATACACACATTAGAATGTTATTCAGTCCTAAAAAGGAAGGAGATTCTGAACATGCTATAACAAACTAAATAAAATAAGCCAGAAAGGATAAATATTATGATTCCACTTATACGAATAAGTAAGGCAGTCTAATGCATAGAGACAGAAGTAGAATGGTGGTGCTGAGGACTAGAAGTATTTGGGTAGTCAGTGTTTAATGAACACAGAGTTTCAGTATGGGAAGAAGAAAAAGGTTTGGAGATGGATGGTGGTGATGGATAAACAACAAGAATACACTTAATGCAACTCAACTGTACACTTAAAATGGTTAAGATGGGGCTAAGGGTGCAGCTCAGTAACAAAACATGTGTTTAGCATGCTCAAGACCCTGGGTTCAATCCCCAGCACCAAAAAAAAGATTAAGATGGTAAACATTGTTATATGTATTTTAAAACAACTTCTTTAAAAATTATTAGGGATTCCCAACATATAAAATAAATAAAATCAAGATGATCATAATAATGTATAACACAGACATACAAAGCTCGGAGCTCAAGGGTGAAAAGCTAAGGGTATTAAAGACCACCCAAAATTCCCAAGCAGAAGAGTCTCTCAATCAGAATTGCTCAAAAGTAGCCATGATTTGAAGGCACAAGAGCCACAGACTTCAAGGTACTGGTCAAAAGAGTGTCACCTACAGATCTTGTCCCTCCCAGCTGAAGGATTGGTCCTCAGTCTCTCTCCTAGGACCTGCAGAGAGACTCCCTATTACTTAGGTCTGGGAGAACATTCAACCCCACAATGCTAAAAGATTGGCCAAGAATCAAATTTACAACAAGGGAGGGGAATTTGCACTCAGAGTAACATTCCTGGCATCAAACTTTGTAAAAGGCAAAAGATGGCTACAGGTGCATCCAGAATGAATGTGGTGCAAAGAGGCATTTTCTCCACAGGTTCCTTTTGAACTGCCCTATCCTTAGAAAAACAGTCACTGACAGGAGAGGGCCTGGCTCTTTAGTTGGCTCAGGGGTCCTTGGATTATTGTCTTTGAACAGAAGACCTGGTCACCCACCAGACCTCACACCACACCAGCATGGTAGAAGGTCATGTGGAAAGTGACTTCATAACTTCCTGTGGCATGTTGAAAATAAAATGCTATTTTATTATCAGTTATTTCCACTTTTTAGACGTGTCTCCTCCATGTGCTCAGGCTCGTGAGAATGCAGGAAGATCTTACCTATCAGCTAGGTGTCAGGGCCCAAATTCAAGTGTGCCATCTAACAGCATCAATTTACTTCAAATCCTTGGAGCAATTTTAGTTCTCAGCAGTAACTCCACTTGGCTCCCTCCATTATTTGCACAAACCTCTTGATTCCTACACTAGACTGGAAAATCCTTAGAGAGGTCTCTGTGTTCTCTTTTCCCTAACCTCAGATTAAAACAATGACTGCACAGAGCAAGTGCCCAATAATGGTATTAAAGAGAGAGCAGAAATCTTAACTGTGTTAGGAAATGTCTATGTTTTCAGAGATGAAACATGTGGGTGCGGCGAGAGTCCTGCTCTCTGGCCCTGCCTGGTTGTGCCTCAATAAGAAGCACTTGTTTGTTCTCAACTTCCAGCTCCTCATCCTTGAAATTAATTTGAAGTTCCCTTCTAGCCCTCAAGCTGGAAAACAGTATCAATAATTTCACTGTGGATTCTCAAAACAAAGTCAAGAGTCAAGAAGAAAGATAGGCAGGTGGTGGGAGATTCTAAACAGAACCTGGAGCTTAATTCCCTTATCAGTGCTTGTATCACACAGATGTTTCCTCTTGAATTATTTAAAGGTGTGGACAAAGCCAATGCAATGCTTGCTCCACAGATACTAGGACTCACCTTCCCACTCAGTTGCTGTCACCATCTTTCTGGGAAAACAATTGCAAGGTAGGACAACAGCAGCTCCCCTAGGGGCCTAAATGAGTTAGCCCTCCAAGAGTGAGGTCTCCAAACCCCAGCTCAGAATGCCCTCTTTATGTTTACCTCTCCACCACCTCTGGAGTGTTGGCAGCTTATCAGCAATAAGGGAAAATGCAAAGTTCCACACTCAGCAGAGGGCTCACTTAGCCAGTTTTAAACAAGAATGAAGGCAGAAGCCAGACTGAGCTTTTGGAGAGAGCAAGATAAATGGCAGGGCTGGGGTGGGGGGGTGGGGGAAGGGGGTGAGAATTCCTTCTCCTCAGTGAGACTGGCTATGAAAGGGAGCAGGGAGGGCTCACAGGCAGCAGGCCATGGAAAGGTTCATGGCTAGAGCAGAGAGATTGTTTAAAGATAAATAGTGGACCAGATGGAGCCACATTTTGGAGCAGGTACTTAACTACAAACTCTGGGCTCCTCATTTTATTTATCCTGAGATTTTATTCAGCATGCACCCCATTGCCTAGTAACTTCCTGTCATACAGAGGGCACTGGAACATGGTGCTGAATGTACAAGGGAAGGGAAGCCTTCAGAGCACAGAGTCAAATGACCCAGAGAGAAATGCCAGCCTTGCTGTTTCCTCAGAGGTACGAATGAAGGGGAAAAAAAGGACTAAGAAGTATACATTTCTGGAGGACAGGAGTGCAGTTGCAGGGACTC